ATTACGGTTTCACATCGCTCTCCTAACATTAAAATATGAATGCATGATATATATATATATATATTATATATAATATTAGATAGAACTAATAATTTAAATATTTTACGTATAAAGATTTTTGTGAAGTGAAATATGTATACATATATGTTTTCAAGGTTAGATATATTCAAGAAAGGTTGCCATAGCATTCAGAATAGTATATAGACTAAATGAAATGGAGCGCGTAATCTAATGGGATGATTTATGGCTCAATTTCACAACGAATGTGCAAGCTCTATCGGTGGTAGCGTAATGATTGGTATCCGACAGCCATCATGTCTTATTTATAAGATAACTAGCAATGTCAAATGTGCGATTCACATTTTAGAAAAAGAATGCAATGATCAGTAATGGTTCTTTTCTTGTATCCAAAGTCTCGATAACAGTGGAAAAAAGAAGTGAAATCATAAGTTATTTTAAAACAGAACCTTTTTGTAAAATATGAATTCTTATCACAGTTGTAAATACTGGTGGTGGGTGATACTCAGAATTTAAATCGTGTGTTACAGATTAAGTCAGAATCCACCTTCTTAATGTACTTTTAATTGGGGTACCCTCACTAATTGCATATTTTTAAGTAGATATATTTAAATGTGGGTAGGAAAACAACTTTGAGTGATGAAAGAAATTTAAATATCTTAATACAATCGTGAAAGTAAAAACCAAAACTTTTATAGCCTATTCAAGCTCCAGTTTCTCAGTATCAGGACTGTTTAAAACTACGAGTAGCATACTGCGAAATTTCCCACCACAAAAGAAAGGAAACTGTCTACAATTAAACATGAATTTCGCATTATGTAAATGTGATGTGATAGACTTGATTTAATAGTTTATTCGTTTGTAAAGTGTAATTTTAAGTAACAAGAGAAACATCACATCGAAAGTCGAAATATCCTGTAATTGGAATATGCTGTCAAGTTGAGTCCTGGATGATACATGTAGGTAAGCAATTCGTTTGAATATAGCATGAATGCAATACGAGCACGCACAAACAAATACGAGCACATAACACATAAAATAATAAAATTGTTAGTACATGTAGTGTTTGTAAGAAAAATGATAAGGTTCTAAACTCTATTTTATCTTTCTTAATCTTTACTTTAATACACCTAAAACATATTTTACTTCCTCTGTTCAACACTTCTTTTCTCTTACTCTTAATGTCTATATCAGATATAAGACTTATCCGACAATCACCGACCCGTAAAGGCGTATTTTCGAAGCTCCTGTTTCCTATCTAAAACTCTCCTGTCACGAGAAATGCGCCGTAATCAATTATCTGATAGGCTACTTCTAATGCCACCATCACACAATCAGGGTTTACAGCATTTCCAAGTCTGAAGTAATAACGAAAACCCTAGACATTCTACAGGTCTAAAATAAACTTGTGTATTTATTACAACTTTATGTGAATGTCGCTAAGCCGCTTAAAGTTTTCCACTAAGCGGTCCCTGACTACCCAAAAAGTCCCTAATAAAACAAAGAAAAACTGTATAAAACTGTGATGGTTACCCATACGCGCGTCAATTTGATTCATATTCTAAGTATTTTCTATTATAGCTTTAAGCATTTTGTTTCAAGCACGCGGTAAAACATTAATCACTGTCTGCATTTATAGGCCGATTAATATAATTTTATTTTCGTCGAGTTATAACAAAATAAAATCAAAAACAGGGCGGATAATTCGTTCGTGACGAATTAATCCCGATAAATAGAAAAACAAATGTTGTAACTATCTTAAGATACGGAAATATGATACTTCAAGTATACGAACTACTAAACACGAGAAGTGATAACGTGGAAAATCCTTATAGCATATCATTGTATATAAGACATGGCAGGTCATACATACCTTTGATCTGTTGCACTGTAGCAATATAGGTGTTATAAAACGTGTTTATTATTCATTGGAAATCTCCAGTAAAGTAAGATCACATAGATTGTGAACTGATAAACTAACGTCATCAGATGAATATAGTAATCCTATTATTATTATATTTGCGATATGTTAGTCGTCAATGTAATCGTGACAAGGAAATTTATGCAGATACTTAAGGCAAGGAGTTAAAATTATACCACTAGAAAATCATGCCCTTTTTTACCCTTGGATCCCCTCGGATATCACCCACCGGTGGGGTGATTACTCGAACCGACCAAAAACCGTACGCCGTCTCGGGTACCAGTAGCCGGAGAACCAGCCCTACAGAAGTTTAAAGTTGACAGCACTACGCTTCTGTTTCGCAGTTAAGGTTAGTAATAGCAGTACGTATGACATAGGAAGTCAGTTCTCATCAATTTTTTATTTTCACGGTTTAATTAAATACGATGATTTGCCGATAAACGAATTTATTGCCGTAACAATTTCAAAACGCGATGTGATTGCAATCTTGTTATTTTCAAAATGAGAGTTCTAAATCGATGTATGTGCATAACTTACAAAATATTTGAAACTGTATAATGACAGTATATATTAAGTATACATATAAAATGTTACACAATTGCGGTAACTTTGTGCAGAATGACACAAACTTTATTATAATTTAATAATTCTGAATGTTTACTTTTCATTTTAGATTTATTCGTTTTTATGTGTTTTTCATTAAATATTTTAGTTTTTCATTCCGGAGTTTTGTCATAGTAAGAGAAGTCCATGCCCGGTCGTTAAACACTTTATAACAAAGAGACTGAAAACCAAAGACTTAGTATTAGTAAACACATCTTTTATGGGTTCTTTACTATACTCTAACGTACATTTATTTAACAATCAGACAGAGGTCTAATCATAAATTAAATCAGTTCCTACAAGAGATATATTTTGATATCGAATTTTCATAAAGATTTCTATGTCGTACTGCTTGAGGTTGGTTTATAACCTCCAAGGTTCATCCGAATTTTGCACAAATTTGATGAAATATAACGACCTTGCATTAAACTGGATTCTTCATTTTTAAGAGTTTTAAATTTAAATGGGACAACACGGAAAGTATACCATACAAAATAAAAATTTAATAACTTTCCCAAGAAGTTCTTAAAAATACAACATTCTCCTATTTTTTTTTAAGTCGGTGTAAACATATCAACTGTGAGCTTTACTGGCGTGTACCGCGGATAACAATAGTTGTAATAAGTAGCTATAATAACATTTCAAGTACATAATAGAAAGCTTTGAAACATTAAATCAGTGAAAGCACTGCCGTAGCTTTGCTAAAACGACTGTGTGTTATAAGTTTGACGTGTCTCTGTGTGTGTCTGTCTGTGGCATCGTAGCTCCCGAACGGATGAACCGATTTTGATGTTGTTTTTTTTTGTTTGAAAGGTGAATTAGTCAGGAGTGTTCTTAGCTATGTTTGCTGAAAATCGATCCAAGATGGCAGCCGCCACAAAATGGCTTTCATAACTCCCTCAATATGGGTTATCAAATGAAAGGGCTTATTCTTAGAATACTATACACTATGACAAATTTCAAATTCAAGATTTGTCGGTGGTTTTTCAAGTTTTTAATTTAATTTATTAGATAATATTAATAAACAGAAGAATTTTTCATATGGCATCCTGTGTCAATTCCGAAAACTGATTATTGGATTTTACCTATTAGAGAAGATCACCTGATGTTGAAAATTTGAATCACCATCATCACCTTTATTTTGAACTAGCTTGTGCCAGCGACTTCGTTAGCGTGGAATTTGAAAAGCGCTGCCTTAGTGGAACCGATTCCCGGACCGAGCAAAATTTTATAGCGTTTTAAGTTACTCCTTATATAGACAGCTACCCGGTAATAAAATATTATCTAAATCAGTCAAGCCGTTTTGAAGATTACCCGGAACAAACAGACAGAAAGACAGCCAAAAAATATTTAAACTGGTTTTATAGGCATAGGTATCGTGCAAATTACCGTGTGGGCATGAAAAAACCTGTTATTTTGACATTACAAACAGACACTTCAATTTTATTTATTTGTATAGATTTCTTTCTTAATGTCATCGAAGTAACTTGAACTGTAACAGTCAAACGTAGTTTAAGTGTGGTTAAGTAGCATTCATTATTATTAATATTTTAATTGCAAACTGTTTTATGAGCTTGTGGTGTTAATCTGTAATTAACTGATTCACGTTTTTTAATGTAAGTACTATCTACCTCACGTATTAGTGTAAGCAGTTGTTGATTAACTTTAATAATAAAAAAACTGTCATAGTGTAGAATTTTGTACAGTGACAGATCAAAATATATACTAGACTTTTAGTCTTATGTAGCCGTTTCTTACATAACTTTTAACTTTACAGCAAATATTGTTTATTTTTTTTACCATTAATATACTTCTTTTACATAAAACCAATATGATTTCGTACAGTATATTTATCTACTTTTTATTTTAATGGAACAATAATTTTCTTCGCGTATTAATACTATACTAGTTCACTGTATATTGGTTTAGAGGGCTCGGGCTCCCTGGCTACTGTCAGCTAGAATTAGAGGTATGCGACCCTGTATGTAAAAAACATGACTTGTTTTATTTTAATCTCTTATTACATATCTTTACCTCGCAATAATAAAAAAATTCATGAGTATGACTAAATAACAGTTGTCAAAATGTGTAAGTTCAATAACTCTTCAGGGAAATCCAAGTTTAAGTGTATACGCAGTCTATGTGTTCACAATCTAATGAAAAGCTTTATAAGGAATGTCAATAAATAATAAACATTGGCAAGTAGGGGCCCGTCCGTACAGCGATATTTTACCGCGAGGTTTTAATTCGCGCGGAAATAAATCGCCACCATATCAGTGCGTATAGTCCTACATAGTCCTACATCATCAAAAAAAACTCACGGTGAAATATTGCTGTGCGGACGGGCCTTAACATTTATTTAAATCTCCTCCTATAAATGAATTGGAATTTGTAGATCCTGGCACTGTCTGTATAGTATATATACGAGTACATGTAATAACAAATTAAATACACTTACTGTTCGTAATGTTTGTCCTTTGCCCCATTCAGAAATTTTAAACTTTTCAAAGGTTTCAGTGACCTTCTTGTTTCTTAATTCCAAACTCATGTTGATAAATAAAAAAATAATGTCAAATACAACTTTCCCGCCAACTTCAATGAGCGAGGTGTAAAAACCGGTTGGGCAATGAAATACAACAGCACGCACGACGCTCAAGCCGTTGAGCAGCAGACTGGCGCGTTCACCGCACAATACTGTGTTATAAATTGATATCAAAATAATACTTGCTGTTTATTGGACGGAGAATAATTGCACTGCACTTTGGCCTTGTTAGAAAATGATTGTTTTAAAGCCGGAAAATTTTATTTTTTTGTCACTGGTCCTTATGGACCAGTCAAATGAGTTTTTTTACATTTTATGAATATGAATGTACAACGGCGGACTTATTGCACATTCTCTGCCAGTCTACTTTAAACACAGGGTAAATAAAGAGGTAAGTAGGTGCACTACATTGAACAGAACCAAACGAATGAAAGAAAAATGTACATACACAAACCAGATAAAGGAAACGACGCATGCAACATGGGAATATTTGAGTATAATTTATATACATATACATACAAAGATGCCTATATATATGCATATCTACGTGTAAAGATATTATGTATTTTAAAAGTCTTAATATTGCGATGATGATGTAGGAGAAGATCTCCTGTGCCTTAAACGTTCCTGAAGATGACAGATTGAATTAAGGAGGAAGGATTGATGGAGTAAGAGAATTTTGGGTAAGTAAGAATATATTTTTGAACCAAGATATTCACACATCAAAAAAGTCTAAGCAACACTCATGATTTACAGAAACTGCATGTTTTTTTTTTTCAAAGTATAGATTGGTGTACAATATTTTTTGTTCTCGGAAACATACACTGGCTGATTTAAAAAATAGAAACTTTAATTGTTTTGTTTTCATTAAAATAAAAGTTAATAATTTTTTGCCGATTTCATGTGATGTCGTTGATTGAAAAAATTGGCATTTATCTCACTTTTATCATTTGAGATTTATGACAGGGTTGTAAGCTTTGACGACTAGAACCTTCTATTTTTTAGGCACACCAAGAGCTTGTCCTTCAGTTTAGTAATATAAAATTTTCACTTGCTGCACTCTCCTTAAAAAAAAACGGTGTATATAATAATAGTCATCATCATCATCATCAACAGCTTTTAAAAGTCCACTGCTGGACATAAGCCTCTCCTTAGAAAGGAGGTTTTGGCCTACTATACCACGCTGGCCAGACGGGTTGGTATAGGGTTTGTGTCAAGTTTTCCTTCTCTCTGCAGTGCTGTTGTTCTGCGTAGTTTTTTCCCTTATTCGGCTCTTACGAAACCCACGGGATGAATAGGGGTGGTGACACTCTGTATTCTTAATCCGTCACCACACGGATAATAGTAAGTAATCCAAAAGGCTTGAAAATGCGTTTGGAATTTGTTAATTTGGATTCTCTCTTATAATATCTGAGCATATGGTTTGTAGGATTATATTAAACTTAGAAACTTTAAAATGTGATATCTCTGCGAAAAAAAGATAACAGACAGACAAAATTTAAGGCCTATACTTTACGATGCTTTTAACAATTTTTTGGGTAAATATTATGTTACGACGCACTTTAAGGTTAGGTATATATTTCAGAAACTAGAGCCAATTGGGTAAATTGGACTTTCGGATTCAGCGCATCAAAAACCTTCGGAGAAGTATACTCTGGTTTCTGGATCTCAGGGTTGTAAGAGTAGAAAGGGTAAAAAATAGATAGACCAAATAATTGACCAGCAAGATCCACATTACTAATCTTTGACCTTTTCTTAATACAAATCCATTGGTGGAATTCGGTCCTCACATTTTGTATACTCACTTACCTCTAGCGCCCGGTCTATAAACCAAATCTCATGATCAGAAAGTTTTTGAGTATATTTTTTTAAATTTTCGATTCTATGTCATTTTTTGAATGTTATTTTGTTCCATTTGCTATTTCATATTATATGTTTCAATTTTTTTTAAAAATGCAACCTAACTTATCGTGTATGCACTAAGAGGAATATGTTTCTTGCCCAACAATTTCAATCCTGAAGAATACTTCCACTCCATTTGTTTATGAAGCTAAATATTGTTTACTCAACAGATATAGCCAGCCAGGTAGTAAAATAAAAATCCAAATAAATAAATAATTAAGTATCAGTTTGTAATGTCAAAATAATGGGTTTTTTTCATGCTCATACGGTTATTTTCACGATACTTATGCCTAAAAGCCAGTTTATATATTTTGTGTGTCTGTCCGTTTGTTCCGGGTAATATTTAAAACGGCTGGACGATTTTGATATTATTTTACTACCAGTAAGCTGTCTGTATAAGGAATAACTTAGGCTATTTTTCCTCTCAGAAAAACCCTATAAAATTTTGCCCGTTCCGGGAATCGAACCCGAAGCGTCATGGGCTAATACTAATAACTAAGACAGCCCTTTTCAAATTCAACGCGAACCAAGTCGCGGGGACCAGCTAGTCCTTTTAAAGTAATATCGAGCTACTAACGACATACATATTAACCGAGAACTAGCCGAGTCCAATAAGTGGGTCTTTATTAGATTAGCTTGTCAATTCTAATTACGATAAATACCGACCGCTTTGTTTTTCTGGTCGATTTTCCCATTTTTTTTTAAGTGCGGCAATCTCCTCGGATACCACCCATCGGTGGTTATGTCGGACTCGAAGCGACGAAAAACCGCACGCCGTCTCGGGTACCAGTTGCCGGGGAACCAGGTGTACCCTAGGAAGGTAATCCCTGATACCCCGGCGTACCTCGGGCCATCTACAGCGTGTAAATAATCCCCTCCTGTGGAACCCCCCTATGCCCCCTTTTTGCTCCAGAAAGGGTGAACTCGCAGAATGACCTCCGGCGCCTGAATCGTCTGCGGTACCTGGCCCGTTGCCGGGTCGCTCCACCATCTCCTTTGCAAGCATAATATGCTCGAAGGATCGCGGCAATCATGTTACCGAGCGAGAGAATTCTCACTCCGATGGCCGCCACGAGGCAACGCCTCTGCTCCACCCACGCCGGGCATTCTGCCATCGTGTGGAGCGCCGTGTCCACGGCACTCAAGCCTTGCGGATCAGACACAGGTTATCTCCGAAGCATCCATTCCCGGTGAATTCGCTGCGGTCGCCGCAGTAGTGCGACGTTGCTGGCCTTCAGGGCCTCCGTCCATACTGGGGCCCCATAAAGGGCCATGGACCACACAACCCACGAGTAGTCTCCTGCAGGAGTCATCAGTTCCACTCATATAGGACAGCAGCCGCGCCAATGTACGTGTTGCTCCAACCAACTTGGGGACCAGACCTCGGAAATGGTGTCCGAAGTCGAATCCTCATCAAGGCCTCGATGCCGATGCGAGAGCCTCCTAATATAAGGCTGGATCCCTCAGGTTCCTTCCTCCGAGGCCCGTGAAAGAACAAGCCTCGGATTTGTGCATAGCCACCTCGAGATCCAGCCGCCGGCTCCGCTCTACGACTTGGGCAACCCCAGCCGGTGTTCTTAGGGTTGCCTCACGGTGCGTTCTACCGTACGCCGTCACGAGCGTGTCGTCCGCGTGACGGCGACACCATCCAGGAACGCACAATGATGTTCCACAAGAGTGGCTCTAATACCGACGCCTGTGGGACACCACACGACATTTCACGTCTACCGAGAGTGTCCTACTTGGGTAGACGACGGCTTTCTCTGACAAATAGGCCCCGACTATGCGGCGGAGGCAGAGAGGCACTTCGTGATACACGAGCGCCTCCCTTATGCAACTCCAGGGCAAAGTGTTGAACGCATTGGCGATGTCCAAGAACACCACCTAAAATCACTTCGCCCCGGGAAACCGCTTCCACCGTCAGAGCTATCAAGCGCATGATCGCATCCACGGTGGAGCGCGCCTGACGCAAACGGTACTAGGTTGTCCGCCAGATCCAGCCCCACTATGACGAGATGCCTGACGAAGCGCCTTGCAATCACTCTTTGGAAGAGTTTGCACACCTCGTCAAGTAACACTGGACGGGACGCCCCTCCTTTCGGATGAGGATCAGTTTCCCCGTCTTAAACAATTTCGGAAACTGGCCCCGCTCGAGGCATGCGCTGAAGAACCCTCTTAGTCAGGTTAATGATTTAGGGTCCTGGGGCGGTGTTTTAAGCTTTAAGCCGTATGACCAGATTAGTTCTGCCCAAGCGACCTCAGACACGTCGTCGTCATCCACGTTAGGCGCCTCGAGCGCCGGAGGCGGTGCCACCTGTGGTGGGGTGTGCTCCACCACTTCGATGGGAACAGGGAGCCGACAACCCCTTCAAGCAGTTCTGGCTGAAGACACCGGTTCAGCGGCGGGGCCCAATGGCGCATCTTGCCCTTAACCCAAGTGAGGAAGAGCAAGATAAGAAGCACAATTAATTAAAAAGATTGGAGGAATCCCATCTGGGCCGGAACCTTTACGATGATCCAGAGACCTACGGCTATTGTATATGGTCTCTTGCTCAAAGAAAGCAACTGTCAAAGGCAAACTTATGTTTCTAATGTTTTTTAAGTAATCTGAGTTTGGGATACCTTTCACCGTTTGTCGAACGTTAAAAAAAAGAATAAAAATGAATAGCAAACATTTCACAAATTTCATAGTCGTTAGAAGTGGTAATGATATTGTTATTCATTGAAAGAGGAAAGGAGCTAGTGCCTCGTTTGCCTTTAACTTTTTTGTCCAGAACTTCTTTGGATCCTTCGCTATTTCTGTTTCTAAATTTTCAATGTTATTATTATAACAGTTAGTTGAAATTATTGAACAACGCTTACTAAGAAGCTTTAGTTCTAGCGCATCCATGGGATTTTTGTAGACTTTGTAGCTTTTCTACCTTTTCTTTAAGCGTTCTTATTAAATGTTTTCTTTCATTTTGTTTTATTTATATTGTTTATACTTGATTTTTTTATTGTTTTATTTATCAATCAAAATATTGTCAGTGGAGTAAACTTAATCTAGATTTAAGTAATATTGCGTTTCACTTAGTTTTGTATTATTTTACTCGTAGTATTATAAT